AACTCAAAAAGCAGTGATACAAAATCATGGAAAAATGTTTTACACAAAAAATTGTCAAAATGTGAAAGTACTGTTTGTAGACACATCCTCCTTATAGACCAGGGGCAGGGAATGCATGACCTATGGGCCATCTAAAAACTTCCAATACCATGAGTCAATTCGGACTCATAACAAGCAGACAGGGAAAGGGAGAACTGGCCCCATGGGTTTTCGAGACTGTCTCTCTCCCCTCGGGCCAGCTGGTGGTTTCAAGCAGCTGACGTGGTTGTTAGCAGCCCCATGAGCTACCCATTACACCACCAAGGCTCTCTGAAAAAAAGAGGACTTGAAAAAATCGCACTGCCATTGAGTCGATAGCAACTCTTTACGGAAGTAGAAAGCCCCATCTTTGTCCCAGGGAGCGCCTGGTGGTTTTAAACTGCTGATCCTGAAGTTAGCAGCCAACACATGATCACTACACCCTTCAGGGCTCCTTCAGGGTGGAAGCAGGCCAGCCAACATTGTGTGCCCCACCAAAACACCAGCAATTCTAGCCATCACGTTTTTAGGTTGATCATTTTGCAAGGCCCACCAATAAGGTGAATATCCAAACGGCCCTTGTCAGATAGGGCTCCCAATGCCTGAACTTGGGAAGGCGTTCTTTCCGTTTTTCCAACGCTTCCCGGAAGATTCTGTGCTCTGTGATTTGCACCAGGTCAAGACTGCAGCTCCGGTGGCCTTAAGCAGCTCATGTTCTTTGTGGTTAGGGCACAGAAAGAAGTCTAAAGAGGTTAGATTCCAGCGAGCGGGGTGAGATTTCCAGCCAGATTCTCATTGTTTGCTCCCTACAAAGAATGAGCCAGGCATTGTAGAAACGGAAAGAAAGACCTTGGTGCGACTTTACCAGCCTTTTTCTCACTAATTCAGTTTACGATTTTCTAAAAACTTCTTCCTAATGAGCCCACATAATCATCTTGTGTCCGCTGAGAAAATCCATCAAGATTACCCTTTTGATCTCAAAAGCCAGTCTCCATAATCTTCTTAGCTGAACTCTCCATGGCCCAGCGATTCCGGTTTTGGGTTTGGATTTGGAAGGCCCACTAATGAGACATAGAGAAGCGTCTTTCTGGGAGAGCCCGAGTGATCACGGAGACATGCCGCAACACGTTGTGCTTGGAACTGGAAACCTAGCAGCAATATC